TCACTCCAACACAAAATGAAACAATATCTACAAATTCAAATATTCAGCATTAAAAAAATTAGTATGACCTCTCGAATAGTTAAGCTATTAAATTTCTAATTTAATATTGATTAGAAACATCACTCCAACACTAAATGAAACTGTTAAGCTATGTATATCTCTCTGTGTAGTAGCAATTGCAGTAGAGTTCTCCATGTCCTGAATAGCAAACGGGTTTGCTAAGCATAGCCCTTATGTTCGCCAGTTGTTCTCTATTTATACTTGTCTATCTAATTGGCATAGGATACGACAGAAACAATATCTTCAAATCCAAATATTCAAAAGCAAAAACATTAGTATGTCCTCTCAAATATTTATAATGTTTTTAAATTTCTAATTTAATATTATTTAAAAATATAACTCCCTTACCAAATAAAACATTATCTATTTAAATTTATACATTCAAAACTAAAAAAACGTTAGTATAACCTGTCGAGTGGTTAAGCTATAAAATTTCTAATTTAATATTGTTTAAAAAGCATATAACCTGTCGAGTGGTTAATCTAGAACTAAAAAACATTAGTATTTCGAATAGTTAAATTACGAATGTTTAAAACATCATTCCAACACAAAATGAAACTATATAAAAATTCAAATATTCAGAACTAAAAACATTAATATGACCATTCGAATAGTTAACTTATTAAATTTCTAATTTAATATTGATCAAAAACATCGCTCCAACACAAAATGAAACTGTTATGTTTGCATATAGCTCTGTGTAAGTCGCAATTGCAGTAGAGTTTTCCGTGTCCTGAATCGCAAACGAGTTTGCTAGGCATAGACCTTATGTTCGCCAGTTGTTCTCTATTTATATTTGTCTATCTAATTGGCATACGATACTACAGAAACAATATCAAATATTCAAAACCAAAAACATTAGTATGACCTCTCAAATATTTATAATGTTTTTAAATTTCTAATTTGATATTGTTTAAAAATATCGCTTCTTTTCAAAACGAAACGACAGCTACAAATTCAAATATTCCGAACGAAAAACAAAATTAGAAACCATCTCTGGAAAATTCTGACATATTGCAATGGAAATACATGGTGTGTGTGTGTGTGTTTCTTTTGGTTTTGTTTCATTCTACTGCCTTCTATTTGAACGTGATTAGCAAAGATATATTTTTCCTCTTTCGGTTGTGGAATCCGTCACATGTTCATGAAAAATTATTCAGTATAGCCAAGTAGAAAATGTCAGGCAACGGTCTTTATTGTCGTCTAGGTCGTGATAAGGTTCATTTGTCATTGTGATGAAGACGAACAGATATTAGAGCTTCACAACTGAACTTAACGCACCTGCTCTCAGATTTGAAAGGCGTTTTAACTACCGTCTATACTCGTGTAGGAGTCGATTTCATGTATAACGCCAACCTGAATTATTTTCCATAGATTTTACCCCCTTCAGAAAAAAAATTACCTGTGTACAACGCAACCGTCTATATTTGGGTATAAAAAAATAACTGTTTACATTATTCGGACTATTTTCCTCATCATTGTCGCCATATTTATTACAACGTTTCGGCCGTTGTACGCTCCGGTCTGCTTCCTGTTGTTGGAATGTCGAACTGAACACTTTATTTCGCTTACTGAGGTAGACTGTTCTAGTTCCTTTTGGCATGTTTAATGGATGTCAGTTATATCCTGTTAATTTCCATCTTCAAAGAGTGTGAGTTCAGTACCCGGTTAAGGCAGTGGAGAACTCCCTTTTATTCCAAAATGGAAGCAAATATTTTATAATATAATATACTTCATAATGGAAGATGAATCATTCGATCCTATTGAATTCCTGAAGGGTGTTGCTCCTAATTACGAAATAAAGAAGTAATTTCCAAGATTAAATTGCTTTACTAAGATTTTTTTTTTTTTGAAATACAATATTTTTAATTTAAGATTTTAATTAAAAATTTTCCATTAGTGTTTTAATAGGATCCTTAATTCTATAAATGAATAAAAAAGTAAGATTGAAAGTTAGAACTTTTCAATACTTTTATTCTTTCTTTTTTAGGGGGGGGGCTTGTCTCCGGTCAAAGACAGTGAGGTCGAAACAGTCTGACGCCTAAACGGTTTAACCGAAGAGTCCAATTATTTTTCTGACTCCGAATCAGCCCCGCCGAAACGAACGAAACCCCCTTTCTTTTACTGTACGCCAGCGCTATATACAATTTTGAATTTCTCCTAGACCGGTTGCTACCCAAGACAATAGAACCCAGGCTGACCTGCTATTTACCTATAACTTAGGAGGGTGTGAAAAAGAGGATTTATACCTTTCCCAATTAAGTGAATATAATTGTTCCAACTGGAATTCTCTTTCTTAATGAGAGGCGCTATCCATTACTCCACGGTCAAAACACGCTGAAAACACCGGTTCCCGTTCGATCACCGAAGTTAAGCATCGTAGAGCCAGGTCAGTACTTAGATGGGGACCGCTTGGGAACACCTGGTACTGTGTAAGCCCCAAAGTCCAACCCTTACCTCACAGTCGGTGGGGGGTGTAAACGGTAGTGTCAGAGCTATGCCGCCCGGAACATCGTTCCTGGTAGGGCCACCTGCGCGGACAGGTCTGACACACACGCCGGCTAACAAGGGCTCTGGGTGAAAATCCAAGGAGCGTCTGCATCGGTAACCGGCGGCTTCTGGTCGTTCCTGTCTCTGCGTCTGTGGGAACCCCGCGGCAAGTAAGAACGTTATCCGAGTAGGCCTGGGTACCCTACTTCTGTAATTTATCCCAAGAATCTTCTTCTCATAACAGGAAGAAGCCGGCTCAATCCGCCCAGGGTGAATGCCGCATCAGTACAGTACAGTACAGTACTCCACGGTACCTCTTCTATGGCGGCATTCGACACTAATCATTTCCACTCTAAGTAACATGCGACTGATAGTATTCAGTTATATGTTTGTTACTATAAATTTCAGTCGAGTTCATTTTTATTCTGCAATGTTTTCATTCGCCATGTTCTCTTGTCCATGGTTTACTCAGCATTCGAAGTTAGTGGTATATAAATGTTGTTTGAAATCATTTCTTCCTCTCTGAATTTGGTCTACCGGCCTATGCATTTGAGGATTTTAATAAAGAGGATAAGACAGTGCTACGATACTATGAGATCTACTTCAATATAGCATGAGGTATACTTCCGTTTCGTCTATAGCGTGAGGTCTACCTTCCGTTTCGTCCATAGCGTGACGTCTAAATCTCGTTTCGTCTATAGCGTGACGTCTACCTCAATTTAGCGTGAGGTCTACCTTCCGTTTCGTGTTAAGCATAAATTCTACCTCCCGTTTCACCTATAGCATGAGGTCTATCTCAATATAGCATTAGGTCTACCTCACGTTTCTATAGTGTGAGGTCTACCTTCCGTTTAACCTCAATTTAGCGTGAAATCTACCTCCCGTGGCGTCTATAGCGTGAGGTCTACCTCAATATAGCGTTACGTCTACCTCACGCTTCGTCTATAATGTGAGGTCTACCGCAGCATCGAAATATAATATAATATTGTGTGTGTATACATATGTATTTAAACCTTATATTATCATTTATATATCTATATACTATTTATGATTATATTAAAGGCAGAGAGTTAAAAATAACACGCTCTCAAATACAATGCGTACATTTATTTTAGCGATAAAATAGGAATGACACGAACAGATCATTGGAATTTTTTCTCATCATCTTCCAGCAAAAATGATCAAGATGGTACCACTTTCGTAATGCTCGTTGTATTAGAGACTTTGAAATCGCTGATACAACTATAGTAACGCCGTTGAACATTGCTGGTGTCAGACGCCTTCGAATAACACTCGCATTTATAGTACTTTCTCGATAATACTCGCTTGAATAGTAATCCGTATAGTGACCCGAAAAGATAAATAGTATAGTGAATAGAAAAGAGAATCTAAGTGCAGATCTGAATAGTAATAGAGGATAGACTAGAAATGACGATCAATCTAGACGACATGCAACAAATGTAGCCGTCCATTGTAACGTTTCAAATAATAAGAAATATTTCGTTAATAGAATCTTCTGAGGCAGTGTTAATATCATCAGATCTGAAATTCTGTCGAGGGGGAGAGTATTCGACCAACATTTGTTGCCATACCGGAGGTTATATATTGAAATGAAGTTCCACATTGTTTTCTGTGTTTGCTATAATTTTCTTTCTTTTCTACAGTGCGACGAAAAATACGAAAACAGTATCGAAATGAGGATACTGTTTCAACCGTCGGGAAGGGCAGACCTAAAGTTAGAAGAAACAGGATAGAGCTGGCTCTCAGGAGTTCCGACATTGTCATGACAGCTCACCTTTTTACGTTGTCTGGGCAGAATGTGCATTACTGGCACCGAATGCGTATGCATTCAAAAGTGCTTTGCGTCATGGTCTTGCAGAGTGGCGAGAAGAGAAGAAATTTCTGTATTCCCAAGAAACATTTCACCTTACATTATACATAGTCATGTAGTAGATGCGAGAGGAGCTTTCTGAAGCATTTGTTTCAATGTTATTCATTATATTTTAATTTTGTATAAGCTTTATTTAAAATACGCCTTTATCAATGGCGGCAACGTCTAGAAAACTCACTAAAGATGCGATGTTATGTTAAAGCCAGCTGCCGTTCCACTTAACGTTCATTGACACAGGCTAGATATTCATTTAACATCTATTCATCCGCAATGATAAGCCATCGTTCGTGAAAGGCAGCCGACTCTGTTGTAAATCGCTGTATTCTTTTGTATAATGCGTCTTAGTTTATATCTACACTAGACTAGAAGGAAGAGGATTTTTTATTCTCTTGGTGATGAAATCCGCCGATCAAATATGGGAAACATTTCAACCGCACACGCGTGTAGAAGAGCAGCAAATTCTTGATACATTTTGTTCCGTGACATGATAATTCCAATTTGTGAATATGATCAGGTTAAAATGAGTAGTAGTAGTAGTAGCGGTAGAAGAAAAAGAAGGCTAAGGAGGAGGAGGAGGAGGAGGAGAATGCAAAGAAGAAGGCGGGAGCAAAAAAGAAGAAGCCAAAGAAGACGAGGAAAAAGGCGAAGATGAAGAAGCCGAAGAAGACAAAGAAGAAGAAAAAGAACACAAAAAAGAAGATTGCAAATAAGAAGAGAGCGAAGAAGAAGGCGAGGAAAAAGAAGGAGACGAAGAAGTAGAGAAGAAGAAGAAGGCGAAGAAGGCGAAGAAGAAGAAGAAGAAGAAAAAGAAGAATAATAGGTCGAAGAAAGAGAAGAAGACGAAGAAACAGAAGGAAGCGAAGGAGAAGAAGAAGAAAAAGGAGGAGGGGCATAATAAGGTGAAAAAAGAATGCAAAGAAAAAGCGGAAGAAAGCAAAGAAAGAAAAGGAAGAGAAAAAAACAAAATGAGAAGAACTATCGGCAGCGAAGAAAAAGGCAGTGAAGGATGAGAAGAAGAAGAAGAAGAAGAAGGAAGGAGGAGGGGCAGCAGCGAAGAAGAAGGAAAACAAGGCGAAAAAGAAGAAGAAGCCGAAGAAAGAAAAAAAGGAGGCGAAGAAGAAGAATGAGGGGAAGTAAAAGCGGTAGCGAAGAAAAAGGCGAAGAAGAAGAAAAAGAAAGTAGCGAAGAAAGAGAAGAAAAAAAGGGAAGAAGAATTCAAAGAAGAAGATGAAGAAGAAGAGAAGCCAGAGTTACAAGCGTGAAATGAACGTTTGTATTCTTAAGATTGGGAGAACTTTAATATTTCCGCTTGCAATGGAATTTCGTATCGGTTGAAATGAAAACGTGGAAGGGGCGAATGAGTTCTTTTCGGTTCATTTCCATTTATTAATAGCGTTCTCGTTGCATCAGTTTTTTTTTTTTGTTTATTTTTTACATTACGCAAAAAAGAAGAGCTTTTTGTTACTTAGGTGCCTTTTAGTTTCAGATATAACTCGACAACTTGCGGCTTGTCTTCGGGCGATTTGCTTGCAATTACTTCGCATTGCATTGTGCCTGGTTTCAATGTTTCACCCTCACCCTAGTTGTTCTCTTTTTTTTTTTTATCTCTAACACACGCGTTTGCCATTAAAACCCAGGTGCTGAATTGTGCTGATGCAAATTAGATTTGTTGATAACGAAGGAATTTTTTTTTTCATAGGGAGGGGATGGAATCCGTGGTAAAAAAAAAAAATATGGAACCTTTTCAGGAGCGAAGAAAGAACGGAAAAAAAAACAAGAAAAGAAAAGTAAGGAAGTTTTCGAAGGAAGGAAGATTTGAAAATAAAGACGGATGAATATTTGGGAATAAACAAAAAAAAAACGCATAAAGAATGGATCTGAAAGTTTGAGTGAATCTAGAGATAAAAAGACAAAAACACAGAGGAAAAATATTAAAAAAAATTGTATGAAAAACAAGAAAAAAGTAAATGAATGAAAGAATTAAAAATGATGACGGTTAACTATATATATATATATATATATATATATATATATATATATATATATATATAAACTATAATTAAAGTTAAAAGGGAAAAATCATTTTATTAATTTTAAAAATTATAAAACAACTTGTGAAAATTCCGGAACGACAAATCCCCCCAAAATAATAAAAATTCAACAGTCTCGATTTCATTCAATCCTTTCACATTAACAACAAAAAGAGCCTACCTAGAGTAAGCGCTATCTTAATCTCCTTCACATATATATCAAAATAAAAAGAAAGAACAGTCAGATTTATAATCTAGATATCTTTAAAATTTATTTTTAACACCATGGCTCGATATACAGTAGAAATTTAATTTATGATTTAGCTTTTGGCTCAGAAACATGGTAATTTCTGTGTCGTGATCAATACATATTTTGAAATTATATATATATGAGTGTACAGCTTATACCTTATCATAATGAAACAATTCGTAAAAAGAATTAAATAGCAATGTTAATGTGATTGATGGCAAAACCACTTCGCTAATAGAACTTAATGAGACATTAACTTAATATCTATTCCTTGAATAATAAGATCCTTATATTCGAGTTGTCAGATGGAAGACTCATGCCAAGTATATTCGACAATTTCAAATTGTCTTCTTCAGAAGGAAAATTTCCGCATTCATAGGCAAACACTAAGACGGAATATGTGTAGAACGAAAGGTGTTTCTTTTTTTTTTAATTGTTATTTATTGAGCGTTGAATATACGTTTTGGAGCTTGCGATGATGCAACGCTAAATTGTTCGGTTTCAACAGATTTTGTCACTGTTTTACTTAGGTTTTAGAAGCATTTTGAAAAATATTTTAGTACTCAAAATCTTAATTTATGTCATAATTTCTCTCCGCATGCGATATATGGTTATCAAATTGGCTATATAAAAAATTCATAGCTTAAAAAGAATGTATCTACATGTTAAAAGTTTAATGGTTTCTTTCTTTTATTTTTATGGTACGCGTTCCATTCGATTTATATCATGAATAACATCCTGTTCAATTCTGAAGATGGCGTTATTGTCGTCTGCTAAAAAGAATTATTGCAACATTCGAAAACCATGTTGAAACTTTCTAGAGCAGATGGCATCGTAACAAATAATTCTGAAAAATAGATTCCAAACAAAAAATTTACTCTAAATGACACGTAAAATCATTTTAGATATCAAAATATTAAAGTTTCTTTAAATATATTTCACTCGTGGGAATTTACGAAAGTCCGCCATCTGAACTTAATGTGTTGATTAGATTCTTGATTTATAAACGGCGTTTGGGTTTTTGCCCATTTTTCAGACATACAATGGAGGTTCTCGTCTTATATACGAGTATTCTGGGAGCAAAAATTGTAAAAATGAGTACGTTTGCAACAATAATATATTAGCAGAAAAAAATGATCGAATAATTTAGATATAAATATTTAAAGGTGCATAGAATTAGAATATGAGTGAAGGAGAATAAAAAGAAATGAATGGAAAAAGAACAAAATAAAGAAGGGAGACTCGAAAACTATAAGATGGATAGAAAGAAGAATACAAGGAAAAGGATAAAAAGAAATGCAAGAAAAGATCGGTTGAAGATATGGAAAGACAAGAAGGATAGAGAGAAAGAAAAATGGCAAGAATAGAGGAATGAAATAGAAATTAAAAAATCACTGAAAAAGAAAGAAATGCGTAGAAGGAACGTAATCAGATTGAAAGAAAGACTGACTATGGATAGAATTGTAGAATATATGTAAACGACGGACGGACGAAAGAAAGAAAGAAAGAAAGGAAGGAAAGAAGAAAGAAAGAAAGAATGAAAAAAAGAAAAGAACGAAGGAAAAAGGAAATAAAGAAATAAAAAAGGCGTAGAAGGAATGTAATTAAAGAGAAAGAAAAATGGAACATGGAGAGAATTGTACAATATCTGTAAACAACGAAGAAAGAAATAAAGAAAGAAAAAAGAAAGAAACGAAGAAAAGGGAAAAAAGAAAGGAACAGAAAAGGCGTAGAAGGAATGTAATTAAAGAGAAAGAAAAATGGAACATGGAGAGAATTGTAGAATATATGTAAACAATGAAGAAAGAAAGGAAGGAAGGAAAGAAGAAAGAAAGAAAGAATGAAAAAAGAAAAGAACGAAGGAAAAAGGAAATAAAGAAATAAAAAAGGCGTAGAAGGAATGTAATTAAAGAGAAAGGAAAATGGAACATGGAGAGAATTGTACAATATCTGTAAACAACGAAGAAAGAAATAAAGAAAGAAAAAAGAAAGAAACGAAGAAAAGGGAAAAAAGAAAGGAACAGAAAAGGCGTAGAAGGAATGTAATTAAAGTGAAAGAAAGATTGACCATGGGAGAATTGTACAATATATGTGAACAACGAAAAAAGAAAAAAAAAAGAAAGAAAGAAAAAAAAAAGAAAGGAAAAACAATAAAGGAACAAAAAAGGCGTAGAAAGAAATGTGATTAAAGAGAAAGAAATATTGACCTTGGAGAGAATTGTACAATATATGTAAACAAAGAAGAAAGAAAGAAAGAAAGAAAGAAACGAAGGAAAGAGTTAAAAAAGAAAGGGACAAAAAACGCGTAGAGGGAATGTAATTAAAGAGAAAGAAAGATTGACCGTGGAAAGGATTGAACAATATATGTAAACAACGAAGAAAGAAAGAATGAAAGAAAATAGAAAGAAAGAAAGTAAAGAAAGAAAGAGAAAGGCCAAGAAAAAAGAATGAAAAAGAAATGAAGAAATTTTAGTGTAAACATTCACAGAAAGAATGAAAAATAGACTAAATTTATAAGCGGCGAAATGAAACGAGAAAAAAAAAAAAAGAGCGCGAAAAACAAAATCAAAACCATAAAGAAAACTAAAGGAAATGAAATTGATACATTAGGAAAAGAGAAAAAAAAATGAAAAAAAAAAATAGTTTGAATTAATTAAACAAAAAAAAAACGAAAAAAAAAAAACACATCGAATAAAATAAGAAAATATAAGAAGATAAAATAAGAATAATTAAAAGAACCAACGAATGGCAGAATATCCGAAGAATATTTCTCTCCAAAACAAAAGATTAATACAAAAGAAAGGAAGACGAAAGAAACTCAAAGCGTACGATATATAACTGAGAAATAAATCATGAAACTCAAAGACAAAATGGAAGAATTCAGTTCCTTCCTAATATTTTCTGCCATCTATTGTCAATCGCCCGATCAATTTATTGTACACCTATTTATTTATTTTTATTTTAAAATTTTATCTTTCTCTTAAAACCATTTCGTCTTTTCTATCTTCCAGCCTCGAATTGATTTTTTTCGTGAATTTTTTTATTAACTGCATTTTCTTTTACTCCCGACAACATTTCTCGATTGTTAGTATTTTCATTGTTTCTAAAATGGCATTTTCAGACTGAATCATACGTTCACTTGTCGACTTCTTAAAAAAAAACAAACAAAAAAAACAAAAACTAAAAGTTGTTTTTTTTAAAAAAAAAAAAAAAAAACTAAAGATATTAAAAAAGAAAAAAATAATTTTAAAAGCTTCACAAAACGAAAAAGAAATGACTGCCTTTTTTTATTATCTCTAAGGAAGACATGAATTGCTGTTTTAGTGAACATTTAATGACACAAAGGAGGCGAGTGCTGTTGTTACCGACTTCATCATCATCGGCGTCATCGTTTTTTTGTTTTTTTTTTTTGCCATTAAAAGGAAAATAATCGTTAGTATTTCGTGCCTTGACATGCATACCCCTTACGTCTGGTAGTCATCGTCGATGTTTGAGTGACAGCAAGTCATTTAATATCTACTGAAAACAGAAAGGGAGACCAACTATCGCTGATAGGCGAACGTTTCACCCCTAAGCAGTCATTAAGCCATTAAGCAGTCATATGTCGTATAGTTTCACGTATGACACACAGATATAGTATCTCCGTCGCTTGTTCTTTTCACTAATGACAGAAATCTCCGAGAAGAGCTACTTGAATAACTACAAAAACTTGTCAAAGTAGGGAAATACATTCCTGAAATCCGCAGACACTAATATATACTGTTATAGAACACATCCACTGAATTTTTTTATTCATAAATTCAGTTAATACGGGACTCGAGAGACACCCAATCTAGAGTATTTCTGTTAAAAGTGTGACGAAGTTGGATGTGAAGGAAATAGGAGGTGATAGAATGTGATGTATATGCGAATAAGGGTTATTTATATCAGTCATAGGTAAAAAGCTACCAGTGGTCCACATACGACCCTTTTGTTCTTTCTGAATGTCACGCTTAATTTTATAAGGAAAATAACTTTTCTTAATATTTTATTTTGTTTCCTTCTCACTTGTTCACACACACTTTCTCTCATACATAACCAGAGACATGAAAAATGAATTATTACAATGTTTCTTGAATTTTATAAACTTTCGGGGAAATTAACGTTGTCAGCGTTTTAAACCATTAGCGAGTTTCACTAAGCTCAAACGTGTAAACCTCTTTTTGCTTCTTGAGAAAAATAGGTTAATCACTAGTATTCACTGCCGAAATTCCCAGATGTACCT